TTTCCAGCAATCAGTTGTATTATCATCTTTGATACCTAAAGGTTTCTTTAAATATATAGTGTGTTGCAACGGTGCATGCAGATAAGCTGTCTCTACATCCAAATGATTTACAATATATTTCTTCTTAGCTGCCCACACTAACGCTGCCCTTAATGTAGTAGCCTTCAGACTAGGTGCAAACACCTCATCGTAGTCATTTGCTGTCTGATTAAACCCTTGTGCTACTAACCTGGCTTTATGGGTAACAGTCCCATCCACACCTGTCTTTAGCTTATATATCCATTTACATCCTATGGCATGTTTACCTGGTGGTAACTTAACATTTTCGTACACCTCCAGTCTTTTTAATGATTCTAGTTACTTATCCATTGCTTTCTGCCAAGCAGCCTGATCCTTAGCAGTTTTAGTTCACTATAATTACTTGGAACTGTATTCACACTAGCATAAAACACTAGCCTGATATCTATCAGGTGGTCATGTTACACGGGTTGAACATCTTGGTAATACAGGGCTTACTGGTGGACTTTCCTGTGCCACCTGCTCCTGTTCTTCTATTTCTTCCTGTGCCTGTTCTACTACTTCTTTCTGTTCTTCCTCTTTAATGGCTGTTTGGGGTTTACTGATTTTATCTTTAGGGACTATTTGGGTGTCAATAACAACATCATTGCTGGATTCCTGTTCCAGTTTATCCCATCCAACGTGCTCGAGAAATTTTGCACCAGCACTACAATAAACATGAGCTGTGCCTTGATCCCAGAATCTAAATGATCTATGGTTGGCCTCATAACCCACAAAAAATAACTTCTTAGCTCTATGTTGCCCTTTCAGTCTTACTTATGAGGGAATATGCACCCATGTTGGAGCTCCAAATGTGTGTAGGTAACTTAAATTTGGTTTTCTGCCATGCCAACAAGTGAATGGCAATTCTCCAGTTGTTGTATTAACTACATCGTTTAAAACATGGTTACTACACATTATGGCCTCACTCCACACGTTTCAGGTAAACCTGAATCAGATAACATAGTGCGAGCCATGGCTTGTAATGTTTGCCCTCTTTGTTCTACAAACGAGTTATGTTTTGGTCTGTAAGGTGCAGAACATTTATGCTCAACACCAGCCAATTTTAACATAGTTTGGAATCTCTTGTTAACAAACTCAGTCCCATTATCAGTTACTAAAGTAATTACTTTACTTTTCATTTTTCTCTCAGCAAACCTTAGCCAGTTAAAGAAGTGTTGGAATGTTTCTGTTTTGTTTTTCATAAGATAGCAAAAACCGTATTGTGAGTAATGGTCCATAATACTCAAAATATAAAACAGGCACCTCCTAAACTTGGTTTTTTAGGACCAATTATGTCAGCAAAAACAACCTCTAAAGGTTCTTTGGTCTTAATCCCATTTAGTCTGTTTGCAGGAGTAACCTTGCTCTTCTCTTGACTATAAGCATTACAATGTAAATACTTGCTACAGGGTTTCAATTTTACTCCCTCTGCCAGTTTAACAGTTTGTTTGAGCATTTTGAAATTAATGTGCCCTAGACATCTATGCAGTAAATGTATACATTCATCATGTGGCTTAACATTGTTATAAACTGAGTTAGCCATCTTCAACTGGTCACCATGTATCTCATATAAATCATTCTTTAATGTAGCAGTAACACTTTTACCCTCTTTCTCTATTATACAGTTATCTCCCCTAAAGGTTACTACATAACCAAGATTAACTAAAGCCCTTACTGATAACAAATTAAATTTCAGTTTAGGTACATATAACATAGTTAAATGTTCGTTTATACAAGAACAATATGCAGTACCTTCATCTGATGCTTTAATCTTCCATCCATTTGCCAATGATACATGTTGCTTACTTGTGGACATCTTTATAAACTTTTTTCTATCTTTAGTAATGCATTGCGATGCTCCACTATCAACAACCCACAAATCATGATTTACAGTTGAATTGCTAGACATAGCTAAACTAACATTCTTCTTAGCCGTCTGGTGTTTACTAGTATTCTGTTGTTTTCCCTTCTTACAGAATTTAGCTATATGTCCCCTAGCCCCACAAGAAAAACATTTCTTAGCAGTATAGGCAGTTGAAGACAAATCCTCTTCTTGTGGTTGTTTCTTCCTCAGTTGATCCCTATCCAGCCTTCTTCTAGCAACCTTCCAGTTATGTCAGTTTATTTCTGGGCAGGACTTCCAGTGAAGATACATAATCATCATAACTTTCATCCAATGAGGAAAGAATGATGTAAACTTGATGCAGCTCTGAAAATATCAGTTCCTTTTCATGTAGCTCTTGAAAAAAAAATTTCATTAAGTTTAAATGAGCTAACATATCTCCACCTTTCAGAAGACATGCTCTAAACAGTTTACGTGTAAGATGTATGTGTGCACCTACACTGTCACAAACATAAATCCTCTTCAAATTCTCCCAACACTTAGCAGCAGACTCTTCTCCACGAATATGGACTAGCTGCTGGTCACTCAGTGTTAGTCCAATTATACAAAGAGCTCATTTGTTGTTCTGTTTAAAGTCAGCAAGCTTCTTAGCATCATCCTCATTTTCTGGATCCCAAGTATTTACATCCAGTGGGTCTTGAACTACTTTCCATAAACCTTCTTTACGCAGAAGTAGACTGCACTTCATAGACCAGGAAACATAGTTTATTCCATCCAACCAGGTTATCAGTGATAGACTTGTTGAAGTATCTTGTGCCATTTTTACCAGGATAGTAACCCACAATTAAACAGTAAACAGCTGTCTGTATACAGTACTGTGTATTCGCACTAACTCTCAGTTATCTGAGCCTGGTATGGCCTGGGCCCATTACCAGTGTTGAGGTAATTCCCTGTTAGGAGAATGAGCGCATACAGGGAGACGTATTTGAGAGTAGTGTTTGAATAATACACACACAGCACACAGATACACTGTACAGTAAATGTTGGTTTTTACTTCCAATAAAGGTTTTAAGCAAAGTTCAAAATAAGCAGTCCAAAGTCATTCACAGGTTAGATCAGTCAGTTTTCATCCAGGGATAATCCAAATATCAAAGTCCAGTGTCAAAAATAGTTCAGTAACAGACTTACATTAAATCCAGAAAATATCAGTCAATTAGGAAAAATTGCAATACTCTCCAACAGAAGGAAATAGAGACTTATTCACACTCTCTTCTGAGACCCTTCAAGATCTTCCTCCTTTCTTTTGCTTCTTCCTGGCTGCCATGAGTAACAGGAGGTGGAAGGGGGAAATGTATGGGATGTAAGCTTCAAATGTTGCTATCTAATATTGCATAAACTGGGGAGGGCTTCTCATTCCTGCTTGGCTTTCTCTTCTCTGCGCAACTGCAACCCTTTATCTGAGTAAGCCAAGGTCAACTAATCATCACCACCTGGAGATGTCCGCATGATGTAGTTCACAACTTTGAATTGGAAGAACCGTTTGAACTATTGGGGGTGGGAACATTTAACCCCCTTGATATATGTGATGTGCGTGCCTGTTTACCCAGATTCAGAATTTTCTTGTTGCTACCACTGACTTCCAGTAAAAGATATCTTTTTTCTAATTACAAGAGTCTTAAGTATTTCTTTCCTGGATTTTGAAAGGAGCACCAGCTGACACCAAGGCTAAACAACCCAGGTTTCTGGCTCCATCTTATGGCCATTTGAGAAACTACACATAATTAGAGTTTTGCATTTTCTTAGATACAGTTTTAAAATGTTTATCTTGTTTATCTTGGTTTATATATTTCTAACCCAATTACCTGTTAGGTGACTTATATTCCTAACAGTCAAAGGTGGTGAACCTATCTAATCCTCCTTCCTCCTTCTATTTTCCTCATAATGACAACCCTGTGATGTGGGTCAGGCAGAGAGAGAGAGAGAGAGAGACCCAAAGCCTATGACCGGAAAGCTACAGGGTCTCCTTATAGCAGGATAAGGACATACAGGTGGAATTGGAAGAGAATGCCTCTGTATCAGCAGTCCAAGGTTTGAAGAAGCTGAAGAAGCTTCTTGGATGAGAAATGAAGCATCTTCAGAGAAAAACAAGAAAGTCCACGTTCCTCCCCGCCCCCCCGCGCACCCCAAGAATAGCAAGGATGTTCAAGAACAAATCATGAGGCCATGAAGAATGAGATGGGGTGGTGAGATCAGAACTAAAGGATGAAAAAAATTGGTTATAATTTAGATGATTGGCAAAAACTTTGGAATAGAAACAAAAAAAAATGACCTTAGTGATTCCTTTGAAAGAAAATCTGTATAAATTATATTATAGATGGCACATACCCCCATCAAGACTGGCAAAAATGAATTCTAAATTTCCCTCCATCTGCTGGAAATGCAATAAAGAAAGAGGAACTTATTATCATTTATAGTGGAGTTGCAGAGAGGCCCAAAAATACTGGCAAAATTTACATAAGTGGATAGAAGAAATGTGTGGAATTGAATTACAACATAGGCCTGAGTTCTTTCTGCTAGGAATTAGCACTACGAAATATGATAAAGAGAAAATGTACTTAATGATCCATGTAATTACTGCAGCAAGGTTGGCGTATGCATAGAAATGGAAAAGTAAAGATATTCCAAATGAAATGGAAATATTGAGGAAAATAACAATGTGTGTAGAAATGGATAAACTAACAAAAGAATTTAAGAATAAGGAAGATATGGATTATTATATAATATGGGATAGATTTTATGATTGGCTAGAGGCGAGGACAATTCATGGGAATAGTGAATGACTTAATGTTTACTAAATGTATATGCACGGAAATTATGTAATATTATTACTGGATATAGCAATGTGATGACAATGATTGATATTAGGAAAACTGTACCACATTCATTTTTTGAATGTAAACTTGTTTGTGTTTGGTTGTTTGTTTAATAAAGAAAAACTTTATTAAAAATGGGCTATTACCATGATACATTGTTTGTTGATTGCTCAAAGATGGATAAGAAAAATTTATTAAATTGTTACAAATTACACTCATTTCTGGACTGTGTGAACAATTTTTGTTTAATAAGCTGTACTGTTTAGTCCAGACAAGACTGGTGCTGTACACATCTCAAGAATTTTACAGCTCTGGGTGTGTTTTCTCTTCTTCAATTATTGTTTTTATTTTTTCAGGCAGGGTCTTTAACCAAAAGTCCACATAGCTGTTTCTCAGTTTCTCTGATTTCCTTTGTTCCAAGTTTAATTCGAGATACTCTTCATGCAGACCATACTGCGGCCATTCCACCAGACCTTCACCATTTGGGTTCCTGGAAATAGCAGAGTCAAGAATTCAGAGGTTTGCCTTTAGCGTAACTGTCATCACTTAACTCAGCCATCAAAATTCAGTGTTTCAAAATAGCCAAACTCTCACCCGTTACGGGCAAAGTTGCTCCAGTATTTCATGATTGTTCTGCTAAGCCGTTTCTCCTCCTCTGTAGCTTCACCTGTGCAGAGCACACAAGAGAAAATACTTAGTCACGCCATGCACAATCTAATTAGAATTTAATGGCTTTAAAAGGATTTCAACCTATTTATGGAGAAAGTTCACCAGCAACTCCCATCTATCCCATGATAGATTTCCTATGAAGTGAACCTGAGACTTTCCCATGAAGTGAACCTGAGACTTTGGGGACACTGACAAGCCGCCTGAGTTAGGAACTGCTGGGCAGGGTTGGGGGGTGGGGGACTCTTGGCCTGATCATCTGATGGGATGTTATTTTTGGGCCAACAGCCTTGTTGTCATGCAAAAGTAGAATCTCCAGGGTCCCCCAATAGGTCTTCAGTTTGTGAAACAAGATCATTGATTTGAGCCACCTGACTAGTTAAGACAGAATCTTGCTAAATCCATGCAAAGTTCTCCTAGTTCTTTCGCCAGCCATAAACACCTGGGTCCAAATGGCTTATTAACAAGCTGCAGTTAAACTGTCAATCACTGGTCTGAATAGAATCAAACGAAAGCTGATCTGCAAACCCCTCGTAAGTGGCCTGATCTGGACAAGATTTGATCTGGATTTCCATTCAGTTGTTTCAGGGCTTACTAAATGTGATTGTGCTGCTTCTCAGGAATGGTCCCCCAAATACAAAGCCGAGTTCATCACCATGGTCTGCCTTCACAAAATCTGGCTTCTTGTCTCTGAATGCTATGGGGCGATGCTGGAACTCATAGAAGTAGACCGGAGCAGCAGAATCTATGAAAAAGATGAGAGGCAGAGAAAGCGTTACAGCTGTGTAGACACAGGAGCCGTGGGACGTGTGTTCAGTGGAGACAAGGAACACGACAGCTGAGATCCTGCATTAACAGAAGGTTACGCAAGTTAAATTAAAACACAATATATATAGAAATAGGGAATGAGGGTTGTCTTGGAAGAATTTTCCAGTAGCCAGAAAGACGGATGCCTGTCCAGAAATAATTTTAAGAAGCCCATGTCTGAACATGCCATGCCAGCCTCACTGGGCAGGATACAAGCGATGCTGCACCGGTCTGTATGATCATCATTGCTTTCTGTTTTGCGATGATGCTCAGCGAAAGTTCTTCTTCCCCAGTTCGAGCAGTTGTTCTAAATCTTTATGCCTCTAAACTAAGCAAGAGAAGTCCTCCTTGGATCTAGGCTTCCAAATTAGCCAGAGGCAATTCAGGGGGATCTGGCTAAGGTGGAATGGATTCTCTTTCCCACTTTCCCACTCAGTCTCCACACAATGAGCTCTAGAACTTTGGCTTTGATTTAGTCAGCTATGACCAGGATTGATTCACCTTATTAAAAAGAATATTTGTTTTAAGTGGTATTTTATGGCCAAAGTGTTTTTCTGCAACTGAGAGAAGCATCCACATTTCTAGTTGCTTTTTTCCAGACCTGCAAAAGCAGATTAGTTTATCAAGGACTAAGTGCCCTTTGTACTTCCTTGACTTGGAATTTCTTCTGGTCTGGAGAAGAATTATGAGCACCAAAACGTCCTTCCTAGCTTGGCTCATCTCCCTTCAGGGGCAGAATAGTGTTTTTTTTTCCCCTTCCTGATTTATTGCAACAGAAAAAATAAAGTTGACACCTGAAAAGGATCAAGTTCCAAACTGCTGCTAATTTCTGTTTGTACTGGTTCTAGCTGAAATGGCAAAATGCTTCTCATAAGATAGCTAAAATGACAAAAATGACAAGAATAGTCTATTTTTTGTAACCCTTTCAAGTTAGTTGGGAAATGTATTTTTAAGTTATTTTTGCCACAAAAAGCAGACAAAAATTCTGAATTGAGCCTCCTGGTTACCATTTGCAATCAGAGGGAAAAAACCAATTAGAAGTAGACTTAAAAATCATAAAACAGCAAGAGAGGCCTCCACCCTTCCAAAATATCTAAAACTAACATTGATTGGTGGACACCAATTCTTGCAGCCCTCACTGGGACCATAGCTGATTCCTCTTTGGTCAGTCTAAGAAATTAGGCTTTTGTCAATTATTACACCTATTTATAAAAAAGGCTCCATGATCAACCTGGGAAACTATTATTCCATTAGTTTATTGCATATAATCAACAAATTATATCGGAACACTTTGGAACTGACTGGAGACCAAAAATATCTCCACAGATGAAGAGGTTGATTTTATAACCGGCAGACCAAGAACTGATCATTGCTTGGTTTTCCAATATCTACTGGGAAAATATAGTACAGGGCCCAATGGGGCTTTATACAAATCCTTTCTTGACATTAAATTCACCTTTGCTCTATTCTGCTCTATTTCTATTCTAGGAAAAAAAACTATGACTTTGTAGATGAACTCACCTCTGTGGTATCTTGCGGTTTGAAGAGAAGGCACGACAAAGATGGCATCTTCCATCAGTTTTTGAAACTGACTGCGTAACTCTATAGGGTCTTCAGTGGCTTCCAAATACTTATCCAATATCATCTGCATAATCTCAGGAGGGTAATTCTGCCAAGAAATAAATATATACGTTGAGACACTGACCGTTGTTTTGCTTTTTGGCACTTCATTAACACTAATTAACTTTCATCACCAGAGATGGGCTATGTTCCTTCTTGCTTCAAACGCTCTACTATCATCCCAGTGCCAAAGAAGGCCTCCATCAGGGAACTGAATGACTACACACCAGTTGCTCTAACATCTGTAGTTATGAAGACCTTTGAAAGGCTTGTGCTGTCCCACCTGAAAACCACCACGGATCTGCTGTTAGATCCCATGCAGTTTGCATACCAAGCAAATAGATCGACAGATGATGCTGTTAATATGGCTCTGCACTATATCCTACAACACCTTGTAGGATATAGTGCAGAGTACAAATACCTACGCAAGGGTCCTCTTTGTAGACTTCAGTTCTGCATTCAATACCATCATTCCAGACATTCTTTTAACTAAACTAAACCAACTAGTGGTACCTGAACACACTTGTAAGTGGATCATAAGCTTCCTAACAGACAGGAAGCAGCGGGTGAAGCTAGGCAGAATCACATCTGATACCTGCACAGCCCTCCCCGCCCCCACAAGGCTGTGTGCTTTCTCCACTTCTCTTCTCTCTATATATCAATGACTCAAATGATCCATCTGTTAAAATACTGAAGTTCGCAGATGATACAACAGTGATTGGTCTCATTCGAGACAACGACAAATCCGCATACAGACAGGAGGTTGAACAACTTGCCTTGTAGTGTAACTGGAACAATCTGGAACTGAACACACACAAAACCGTAGAAATGGTGGTAGACTTTAGAAGAAACCCTAATACTACCTCTTACAATACTAGACAACACAGTATCAACAGTAGAGACCTTCAAATTTCTAGGTTCTGTCATATCATAAGACCTAAAATGGATACCTAACATCAAAAAAAATGTCATTAAAAAAGCACAACAAAGAACGTTCTTTCTGCACCAACTCAGAAAGCTCAAACTGCCCAAGGAATTATTGAATCTGTCATCTGCACCTCTATAACTGTCTCGTTTGATTCTGCAACCTAACAAGACAGACATACGTCAGACACAGACTTCAGAGAATAATTAGGGCTGCAGAAAAAACAATTACTACCCACCTGCCTTCCATGGAGGACCTGTATCCTGCACGAGTCAAAAAGAGGGCTGTGAAAATATCTACAGACCCCTCACATCCTGGACATAAACTGTTTCGACTCCTTCCCTCAAAACGACGCTATAGAGCTGCACACCAGAACAACTAGACACAAGGGGAGTTTTTCCCCGAATGCCATCACTCTGCTAAACAAATGATTCCCTCAACACTGTTCAACTATTACAAAATCTGCACTACTATTACTATTAATCCTCCCATCCTTCCTTTCACCCACCCCTCCCACTTATGACTATATGACTGTAACTTGTTGCTTGTATTGTAATGATTTTTATTGACTATTTATTAATATGATTTGATTCTTATTGTACCCTATGACTATCATTAAGTGTTGTACCTTATGATACTTGACTCTTGATAAATGTATCTTTTATTTTATGTACACTGAGAGGATTTGCACCCAGACAAATTACTTGTGTGTCCAATTACACTTGGCCAATAAAGAATTCTATTCTATTCTAGGCCTATTTCCTCAGATTTTGTATAATATCAGGTGGATATTAAAATCTTGGATTCAAAAATCCAAGAAAGAAAACTTTAGACTCCATGGTTATAGAGAAAAGGACTTTTACTGGAAATTAAAGTGGCAGCATCAGAAGAAATACAAGATCTGAGGCATTAGGCGCAAAAATCACATATAGAAAGTTATCCCATGTTCCCACCCCCAATAGTTCAAACTGGCCATCCAATCTGAGGTGTATATGTGGGGCATCTTGAGGTGGTGTTTCAGACATCTGGCAGGCCAGGACGGTTGACCTTGGTGTAGACGGATAAAGGGCCACATCTGCGCAGTAAGTAAGTAAGCATAGTCAGGAAACCACTCCAACTTTAACATTTCACCAACTTAAACCTCCAGCACTCTTCCCCCCACAAAGCCCAATTATTCTTCCCAACCCCCCAACCCCCATTTCTATGGCAGCTAGAAAGACAAGAAGAAGAAGGATTCTTGGAGGCTGACACTATTCTATATTCTATTCTTTCACCAACAAATCTCATTCCCCATGCCAGCGTGGTTTGTTTGACCCTCTTTCATCCTATGTGAACCCGGCCATCCTAACCTAATTAATAATCAAGGGTTAAAGAAAGAGTGTCTTTAAAAATCTCCGGATATGTAAGATTATGGGCCTAAATTCTGTTGCAGAAAGTAATACAGCAGCAATTAGCAATCAAAACTATTTTTCAGCTCTCAACAAGAAGATGCTGGGAGAGAATTAGTCAAATATATGTTAGGAAGGATATAGAGTGTAGAAAACAGCCATAGAGGCTAAAACATATGAAGAACGGTGGGTACGTCTAGTAAAAAAGGAGGACCAGGGGCGACAGGATGGCAGTCTTCCAATATCTCAGGGGCTGCCCCAAAGAAGAAGGAGTCAAGCTATTCTCCAAAGCACCAGAAGGCAGGACGAGAAGCAACAGATGGAAACTAATCAAGGAGAGAAGCAACCTGGAACGGAGGAGAAATTTCATGGCACTGTGAACAATCAACAATCAGCTTGCTTCTGGAAGTTGTGGGTGCTCCGCAACTGGGCAGCCATTTGTACAGAATGGGCAGAGCTGTCAAACTCCTGGACCACTGGCCGGATGCGTCATGTGGTTTAACGAAGGGGGGGGGAGTCCCGATAATGTCACGTGATGCTGCCCTGACAATGTGAGTTTGACACCCCTGGTCTTGGGTGTCCTACTTGAGAAGGAGTTGGACTAGAAGCCTTCCAACTCTCTTATTCTGTTTTGTTGTTTCCTTTATTTACAAACTTTTATTATAATTTAAACCATTTTCTTTTACATTTATTTCTCATTACTGAAAACTTTATGACAATCCATGCATATAGCCCTTGCTTACTGACTGCCTTGTTTAGCAACTGTTCAAAGTCACAATGATGTAAAAGTCAGCTCTACAACCACAGAAGAATCCCTTGGTCTCATGGTCACCAAGCTGTTCTGACCCAAGCCTTGTTCAAAGCAAACACCAAACAGAGATCAAAGAAAGACCTCTTTAGTGCTTCTCTGTGAATTCCGTTCATTCACAGTAAAATGCTATGAAAAACTAATTGTTGGCTTCCGGTTTGAGTCTCTTTGGCGACAGACCGAAATCTGTGATCGTGTGCGGTTTCGATCTGTGCTTGCCGCCAGAGCACCCCTCGCCAGCTGGTTTCAGGGCTAAGCCACCCCATAGAGGTGGTGAAGAGGGGAGAGACCACCAGCAGGGTCAAGGAGATCCCCATCTTTCTTCCCCAGCTGGCCATTACTCCCTTTCCTGAAGGAGGTTGCAGCGGTAGTCAGAAATCGCCACCTCAAAGAAGAACTGAACTGGAAAAGAATGTACAGGAGGAAGATAAGAAAAGAAAGTTTTGGTCGACTGGGTTAAACTGAAAAAGCAACAACGTAAGGTACCCTGGAATTTAGTTTAAATACCATTGTTCCCAAAGAAGATTTTGAAGCAGCGAAGGAGAGAAAAAAGGGAAATAATTAGGTTTTTCTTTTCTTCCCTTTCATATACTGACAGCTAAGAGACTTAAGCAAGAAATTGAAAAAAAAATCCACTTTGACATTAATAGGCATTTAAGCTGAAAATAAAAGTCAAAGGGATAATAAAGATTTCTGGATATTCTGGATTTCTGGATAAGTTTTTAAAAGCAAGAAAGGAGAAAAAAAAGAATAAAAGGATAGGATCTGGAAAAATGGAGGAGACTGCCTGGAACTAAGGAATGGAACTGTAACTAAAAGGAACTTACAGTGAAACTTTGACAAGACTCCCCAAAGATACATCCTAACTGAAACTTGGCAATAAAATAACAGAACCCCAGGAAGAGAAAGTGGAAAAAAGAAGCAAGAAGAAACAGCCTTGGATTATTTGGATCACTTGGTGATTTTGGGTTTTTGCATCTAAATGACTAAAACTAATCGGGTGGTTGTTTAAAAGTGTTTAAAATGGCATCACTCTTAGAAGAACTGAAAATGGAACTTTAAAAGTGGAAAGAGGATGCACAAAAAGGGAGAGGTTCTTTTGGCTTCGTATTTCAATTCTTAGAAATGGAAATCTGGAACTATGAGAAACAACAAGAAACGCTTGCAGAACAAGAAGATCGGGACAAAGAAGAAGCCATCTTTAATGACTAAATAATTTTAAGTGAGGGGAAAAAAGGAAAGTGGGGAAAGAGAGTGGAAGGTTTAAGACTAGAAAAAAATAACCAAAAAGAAGAAGAGTTTGAAAGATAAGCATAATATTAGAAAGCAATAGAAGAAGGGATTACAGATGAGAGAATTAGAAGTAGAGAGATGAGGGGGTAAAAAGGGGAGGGAGAGAAGAGGGGGAAGAAGGTAAGGAAAAGAAGTTATAAAAGACAGAAACAAGATATAGAGAAACAGGGAAAAGATATAAGGACTGAAACCATAAGCCTGTTTAGAGATAATGGGTGAAAATTTAATTGTAAAAGGGATTCTGAAAGGTGCATAAGATAGCATTGTTATATTACAAATAGAAACAATTTTAGAAAATATGACTAAAATGATAAAATATTCACTTTAATGTAGTGGAATGTTTGTTAAGAAATAAATGAATTAAAGTGAATGAGATAATTAAATTAGGAAAGGATGGGAACATTTTAATTATTATTTATTTATAAAAAATATATAAGTGAGCAATATGGAAAAAATTAATTATGGAAAGTTTATAGGTGTTCCCAAGGAAGTATGATATTTAATTGAAAAGAAATGTTAAAGATGTTAAGATTTTAATGAATATTAATGATAAAATTGAATTGGAATGTGTGTTTTATTTACATATATATATATAATCTTTTCTTTTTAAGAATATAATGTGTATTTTAAGAATGTACCAAGCAGAATTCGATTGGAAGTTATGTATTATATTGAATGCTATAATTTTAAAGGTATACATTGAAACTTAAATAAGAGTTTGAATGGATAAAATTAAAAGATATAAAGATGTCATACTCCAATTAGTAACTACAGGGGAAAATTTGTTTAATGAGAAAAGATAATATGAAATTGCAACAGGACAGACAAAGTATAAATATAATGATTTGAATTGAGATGAGATAATTAAAATAAACTTGAGAAAATTAAAAGAGGGCAAAAACTATGTAGAAAATATAAAACAGTAATAAGATAGAACATAAAAATGAGCATGAAAATGGGACCATGCTATTTTCAAAAAAAGATGTTTTATTTGTATTTTGTTTTTGTGAAAACCCAAATATTTTTTTTTTAAAAAAACTAATTGTCCCAGATAAGAACAAGCCTTGCCAAGGTTGTGCAAGGCTGCCAAGAACACTAGATAAAGTTACTCAGAAATATTTCAAACACAAAAAGTCTCCAAACACAAATCAGGATAGTCCAAATGTCCACAAGACCTGAAGTGCAAAAACTTCTTTGCTTCCTGCAAAGAACTCCAGTTTCTCAGCTGGCTTTTATCCCTTAAAGGGAGGGGCCATCACCTTGCAGCCTTACCCCTGAGTCTCCCATGCTTCTGCAGCTGCTCTTTCCTTTGAGCAGCCTTGCGCGCACTGGGTACAGGCTCCTCAGGGACCTCTTCATTACTGCTGCCAGCCTCCACAATCTCTAAGGCAGCGCTCCACTCCCTGATGGTCCTGGCCCCATCCCTGCCTCACACGCAGGCCCCTCGCCTGAGTCCTCATTCTCTGAGACCTCAGCCGTCCGCACCTCCTGCTGGCAAACCACAACACAGGCAGGTGCTTCCACAGGCAAAGTCAAGGAGGAAAGCAAACATCAAACCATGTCACGGTCGCTGCTGTCTCCCACGGCAGTCAAATGGCGAAGCGGGGGACATTCAGAAGCCTTTGATCATCATGCAATTTCCCACAAAGCTTAGAGATTAGTCACAGCCTTCATTGCCATATCACAGCATGGTTTTATTTTGATTTCTGATTTTTATTCTTAAAGCTAAACATTTCTTAAGGTCCGGTTAAAAGGAATGGGATTAGCCACCTTCTGCAGAAGTGCACGTATGGATGAGAAAATGTATGGATGTCGGTTTCCAGTGCAGAAGCCTGGCTGATAGAAGGTGACGGTAGAATTCCTGAAATCCATTGTGCCCCTCGAGCACGCCAGGCACAGTCAGCTTGCCAAATGCAGCCCAGGGTGGGTCTGATTGGCTGTTTACCAATATTGGAAGAAGGTGAGTAAAAACAGGGACCAAGTTCCTGATTCCAATATTAGGCAGAACATAGAAAGTCTTCAGATGTGACACAGAAATGATACAAGGATTGGGAAAACAGCGGATTTTTGTTTTAAATTTTTGTAGCTTCTTATGAGCAGTCTGTGGCATTCTCCCAACCGTCTGCCTTTTTAACGATTATTTTAATATATTAATATATTAACATATATTTAATATGTTAAATATTAATATAGTTAATAAATTATGTTAATATATTGCAGCCTGCTTCTAATTTGAAATGTGCTAACAGCCCTGTAATCTCCTTGGGCAGCCAGTAAGATCCTTCAGCCACCCTGGACTGCTGAATCCCATCTCTGCTCTGGGCCAGAATCCCAAAGACAGACTCGCTACTGGCCGGAGGCTGCCCAAGGCTGCGACTTGGACTTTGGGCTGGAAGAGTGCTGCGGGAGGCCGCAGCCCATTTTGGCTGGCAGAAGCACCGCGAGCTGGTCCTTTATTGTTTCCAGGATGGTCCCAGATCTAAACAGCCCGGGGGCTGGATCCGGTCCAGAGGCCTTGAGTTTGACACCCCTGTTTAAGTACTCTAATTAGAATAAAAATGTTCAAAAACATCAACTAATCAACAAGGAAAAAAAATATAAAATAGACATCGTAGCTGAAACTCACAGCTGGTCTGCAATCCCCCCTTGAGATCTTCCACAAAAGAGTCATTTCTCTTCATCCCACAAAATCCACCTTTTAATTCATTGGACTTTCATGGCTTCCCATCTTGCCAAGCCATTCCTGTTTAACTCAGCTTCAAAAGAAGTAATGAAGAGCAAAACTAACAACAGGAAAGCAGGATAATGGCGACCAGGCCAAACCGGCCAGCAGGGGTTGAGAAGGGCCGGCTGGGCCCTCCTGGCTGCCTGAAGGGTCAGCAGCTTCAGCTTTCTCATCAAGCCACTTACAGCGCATCAACCAACATTCCACACAAAGTGAGTCGCGAGGGAGGTAGAAACTGGTTTGTCTGATACCCAGTTAGAGGTGAGTGGCTGCATCTCTGCTGCGATCCTTTCCCGATCCATGCCATCTATATCGGAAGAATTTTTTGCCAACTGAAATCCAAAAAAGACATTTCAGAATTTCAACTGAACTTAAGGATGCACAAATTATAAAAAACTATAAGAACTGAGCTGCTATTGTGTAAGTAGGCATAAATGAATTAAAACATATTTTGTCACAGTGCAATAAGCACTTAAAACTATTCCTATAAAAACAGTTTATAAACAAGCGTGGGGATGATTTTCCCATGTGCTGTGTATCCCCTGCCCTCCTCCTTTCCCCACCATGTTCCCCATTTGGTTTTTTCTTTGTAGACACGGTGGTGGGTGGAAGGTTGTGCAGATCCCCAGGACGGGGGGAGCCAAAGGCAAGGCACTTGGATCCTGCAATCTGTGCGTGAGAAAGAGGGTGACGGTGGCTCCTGCTGGGCGGTTCCCAGAATATAGGAGTGCAAATTGTCCGCTTTAGTTCGGCAAGATTTCTGTCTATGGGTGAGGGGCAATAAAGGAAACAGCTGGCAAGAATTGCAGTGTATGTGTTGTGGTTCTGGAACCTGAAACATGGACTCGTTTTCATTTGGACTCTACTTCTATCAGGTCGTCTTTGCTGGACGTTGTAAATCCGACTCAATCTATCAGTCAACCCTGTGGTCTGGATACCCTGTGTAGGGTGTAAAAGATCCGCCTTCTCCTCCCCATCACCTCTTGGACCCCTGGCCAAATCCTTTCCAGGAGGCTTAGCATCCAGTGTCACCACCGTTCCCCCTTCTAGAAACGAACAAGAACAGCACCTGCCCAATCCTTAGACAACCTGGACAGCCACTCCCAGAATAAATTATATTCAGCTACACCAGCATTTTGTTATTTTTCAATATTTTTCAGCACTTCAGCACTCCTTTCATGGTTTTTTTTTCATGAATCACAAACAACTTACACTGTAGATAAGCCATCCATATTCATTATTATTCACTCCAATTAAATATGGGACGGCATGAAGCTCCTTGGAGGCCAACAGTTCCTCTGGGGCTTTTAGAATGAATTCTCCATCAACAACTGCAGGAATAAAGTGAAGTTCCTGGGAAAAGAAGTTACACTAATGCGAATCTGGAAAGGTACAGAAATGTTTACTTTGAGGCTCAACAAAAATTAAGAAAATTAAACCTGCAATCTCTGAGGGAGATGGGCGGTTAAGAAATAAGAAAAAATCAACCCATCTATGCCTGCCGGCCTGTCTCTGTGCAGATTAAAACAATCCAGCCGAAAGCTACAGAGTGGTGACCCCATCCCGGCCTCATGTTGCCTTTGACTCTGCCTCTCTCTCTCCTGCTCTCTCTCTCTCTCTCTCTCTCTCTCTCTCAGGGGATCAGGATTCTTGCTCGAAGGGGGTGCAGAGATGTGGCACAAGCTGATCTTCTGGGACCCAAAACTTGTCTTAAAAGAAAGGGGGATTCTTTCTGCAGCTTTCATTATCTTTTATTTTTATTTTATTTAAAGTCTTTGACTGTGATGAGCCATCAGGGTTATTAAGATCTGGGCAGCATAGAAGTTTAGTAAGCAATTATTATAGAGTGATCGGCAGGCTCTGAATGCTGCAGGCTAGCCCATCTCGCGCTGACTGAGATAGAAAAGGTATTGATGCTTTTGAATGGTGATACTGAAAAGGGCTGAGAATACAGCGCATAGCCAAGAAAACGAATCAATGGATAGCTGAACAAATCCATCTAAAGTTTTCACTCGAGACACAAATGATCAGGCTCTGCTGACCAACCTATTTGGAACACATGAGGTAAAATCCTGGCTTTCCAGAGAAGCCTGTAATGCTGAAGTGATGGGAGGAAAGAGAAGAGAAGGAAGACTGGGCTTGTGTACAGCAGTGATGGATCAAGGGACCCTTGGAAGACGAGAAGGGCCACGCTGGGAAGGATCAACCGGAAGATCAACAGCAGCCACCTGGCTCCTGAGAGTTAAGTCTAACTTAAGGGTTCGAGCAAGCAAGCAGCTTTCTTAGCAGATTCTGGGGGTTGCTGTCAGGTTCCTGCCAGAACGCTGCCCTTCTGAAGGGGAGGGGAGACGCTTCTTGGGGCCAATTGCTTGGACTGCTTTGGCTTTTGCTGTAACCTCATGGGAATTGGGGAGGGGGACTGGGCCATCAGGATGGATTCCCCCCAGCCAGTCCCAGCCTCTTACCCAAGAAGAAGAGAAGGACCAGGGGAGACATGATAGCATCTTGCAATATTTGAGGGCTGCCACAGGGAGGAGGAAGGGGACAAGCTATTGTCTAAAGCGCCTGTAGGCCAGACAAGGAATAATGGAAACTGAACAAGGAGAGATTCAACCTGGAAATAAGGAGAAACTTTCGGACAGTGAGAACAATCAACCCATGGAACAGAAGTTGCCCTCGGAGGTTGTGGGAGCACCATCAGTTGAGACTTTCAAGAAGAAATTAGACTGCCATTTGTCAGAAATGGTGTAGGGTATCCCACTTGGGCGGTGGGTTGGACTAGATGACCGACAAGGTCCCTTCCAACTCTGATTATCTGTTATCTGTTAAGGCCACGGTGCCCCGAGGATGACCTGTTATCACCAACCCGCCTAGGAGTTCTCATAACACCTTTGCAGCACCGTATTAGCTACTGGTGGACATGGGGCTCTAGGTGAGGGTTGAACAGGGGAAATTAGCTTAATGCTTTGTGTGGGAATCTTCAGACTCCACCTGACTTCTCTGCAATCCCTTCTCTCAGCAAACGTTACTTGGGAACTCCTTTCAAGAGTCTTGCCTTCCTGAGAAGGGAGCTGACGCAGGTCCTTATATTTGTATTCTATGATCTTGAGGGCTGCTTTCAATTTGGATGAATATCCTGTCAGTAGAATTGAAGATTCACAGTTGAACACCTTCCATTTCTTACCGGGGGCAACCTGGAAACCAGTGACTTTAGTTCTCCTTCTGTCTTGTTCCGTAAGCAGAGCAGCATGGCAGGACTAGTAGGATCACAGTTGGCAGCAGATGCCACTTTCTTCAAGGTGGAAAAAATATGTAATATAAATGAGGTACAATTTACACTGATGAAACGGGGATACAAGGCTATGGCCCTACTTGCAGAATTTAATTCAGATTTTGCCTTTTCTGAACTTCCATATCCAGTAACTTGAACTTCTACAAAAGCAGGACCTGACCTCCTTGACTGCATATCGAGAGGGTACATCTGGGGAAGGGGGTGTTCCTAAAAAGTGACAAACCCTCCCCCCTTGTCATCACTGCTGGGTCTCATGCGAGCAGGGTGTGTCCCTCTGCTTCCAGGGATGTCGGGAGAGGCTGAGGCCCCCCTGGCAGCTGGGCAGCAATCAAAATGCCGGAGATTCACAGGCACAGGCGATGGAGGTGTGGTCTGGATTTGTCCTTTTGGACCAATCTACTCCTTGAACCCAAACCATTTTGATGGCTATTTGACATATGCCTGATCATCTTTCCCAGATTTAACAGTTCCATGGCTCGCTTTGGGCCTTGGTGGCGCTGTGGTTAGAGTGCAGTACTGCAGGCTACTTCTGCTGACTACTGGCTGCCTGCAATTTGGCAGTTTGAATCTCACCAGGCTTAAGGTTGACTCAACCTTCTGTCCTTCTGAAGGGGGTAAAATGAGGGCTCAGATTGTTGGGGGCAAGAGGCTGCAAACTGCTTAGAGAGGGGTGGAAAGCACTGCGAAGTGGTATATAAGCCTAAGGGCTATGGCTATTGCTACTGCTTTTATTTACAGTAAAAAAAAAGGCAGGTGGATATTGGGATACCAGCATGCAGTTCTCAGACAACGGTTACTTACTTGAGCAAGGATTTCTGGATGCTGGATGAAGATGCCGGGGAGCAGGACACTTCCACTCTCAGAGATCGCTCTGTGAAACAAACCCTTGGACAAAGGAGATAAAATCTACCCACACAGACAGGCAAAAAAGGACAAAATATTCCATCACTTTTTGAAAGGGCCTTAATAATAATATATCAAACTTCTCTTCAACAAGGAACTTGGAGAACATTAAAAATGCAGATCATCTCTGCAACTGTGGTGCCTAGGGGTAGGGGCCAATGGAATTGGGCATAGACATCTGTGAGGTGGTGTGCCTTTTAAAAATCCTGTTATTGTCCATAGATAGAGAAGTTTTCCTAAACTTCAATCCTGTGGTTTGGCCAGAGTTGGTTTAAAGAGTAGAGTTGCTTGGGTAAAAAAAACAAGGCACACCTCCATGTGCCACAAGAGTCTTTGTCATTCAAGAACATTTCAATATCTGCTTCGATGTTCAGATTTTTGAAAAAGGGGTGGTCTTCAGTTTGCCAAACCACCAATTCAGTGTATGGGTTGCTTGCGGCTGATCAGAAACCTTCTACCCTCCAGTCCCTCCCCAGAGTTTTCTCTGATGGTTTTAATTTGCACAATGGGCTTAATCAATGAAGAAGCAGCTGCATCCTCAACATCCTAAGCTTGTTTAGTTTTAAGCCTGCTTAGAGTTTGTGTGGTTTAACCTATCGCCTGTGGTTAACGTGGAGTCCTGCGTCCTGCAGGAGTCAGGCTAGCTTCGCGCTCAGGTCACTTATGTTGTGCAAGCCCAGCCAGTTATGAAGCAATCCTGAGCACAGGGACTTATTGGTGTTTATCCATTCATGTACTAGAACCCACCTCATAGGATGGAGGCATAAATGAGTAAAACTGGTAAAATCTTAAAATCAACTTAATCGACCAGAGTAACAGAGTCGGAAGGACCTTTGGAGGTCCCCTAGTCCAACCTCCTGCACAAGCAGGACACCCTGCACCACTCTGGACAAATGGCTGTCCAGTCTCCTCTTAAAACTCTCCAGGGATGGAGCACCACAACTTCTGGAGGCAAGCAGTTCCATTGGTTAATTGTCCCCACTGTCAGAAAATTTCTCATTAGAGAATCTTGGATTGGATCTTTCTTTAATGATCTTCCACTTGTTACTTCTGGTCCTGCTTTGGAGGACAGGTTGACTCCCTGGTCTTTGTGGCAGCCTCTCAAATTTATGAAGACTGACAGCCTGTCCTCCTTTCCCCTAGACTAGACATACCCAATTCCTGCAACCCTTCTCCATATATTTTAGCCTCCAGCCCCCAAATCAATCTTTTTTTATAATATGGTGACCAACACTGGATGCAGTATTCCAAGAGAGGTCTTACCAAGGCTTTCTTAAATGGTACTGGCACTTCATGTGAACCTGATTCTATCCCTCTGTTAATGTGATCTAGGATTGATTGCACTGGCTTTTTTGATTACTGCCTCACTCTTTGGGGGTCACATTTAAGTGATTGTCCACTAGGACTCCAAGATCCCTCTCACAGTTACTGCTGTTAAGCCAGATGTCACCTAATCTGTACCTTATTAATCTTATTATTAATTGTAATCTGTATCTGTACAGCTTATTGATTTGAATAAAAAGCATCAGAGGCAGGCCTTAACCAAGAGGTATCAAAAGCTTTAAAGCAAAGAGGAAAGGAAGCTGGAGATCAAGCAGTAAAGGACACAAGAAAATTAAACAGAAAATTAAACAGAAGCAGAGCTTCTGATGAGATAAGGATGCCTGGAGGGCAGTCTCTTACCGGATCTGTAACCCCCCTAAGTTGCAAAAAGCTTTCAAACCAACTCTGAATGTCCACGGCCCAAAAGAAGGAATTGATGGCATGCGCTCTGTCAAAGGTCTTTCAGCTGCTTGTGACACCATGTACCCACCTGAGCCCCTACGCTGAATCCTCCAGCGGACTCTCCAAATATGGTCACACAGGAGGGGTCTCCTCCAAAAGCCTCAATGTTTTCCTGAACCCATTGGAGGGCTGCTACTTGGTCCAGGAGCCCCCAGTTTCCAGGGGCTTCTTGGGAGCCAGTGCTGAAAGAAGAAGAGCTCAGAGTAGCCAGTCAGGAAAAGGGTTCTGGGCATTTCTCTACTAGTTATAATATTGAGGAAGGGATGGAGGGGGGAACACCTCTTAATGCCTAACGGATTTGATGATGATGATGATTGTTGTTGTTGTTGTTAATCTTTAGTGAGATTCACAGCCTTTGGGGCTGGTTGGTAGCTCAACAGCTCGAGTCCTAACAAGGACCTAGGTAACGTTCAGGTAATGTCGGAGAATATGAGCTGTTCCAAGTCAGGGTGTTTTTTTGTAGAATCAGGGTATTCAAGTCTGATAAATTCAGGATTTCCAAATAGCGAGGCAGCCCTTTAGGTGGTGTTGCTCCAAGGGCTCCAATCACAATTGGGATCACACACGATTTCTTTTTCCAAAGTCGCTCAACAGCCAGCCGGGACTTTGCTTATCACCTTCAAGGCCAATTCCTCTAGCTTCGGTATGCAGAAGGGAGCGACACCGCAGCTGAATCAGAGACTTTCCCAAAACATCTTCTGGACTAGGGTTGAACTCTGGTTGCCTAGCTACAAAGGGGGGGTGGGGCGAGGTTTCTAGGTTTGTTTCATTTTGAGGCTTTGCATGTTTTTGCTTCAGATCTTGCCTGACTTAGCCGTATTAATTTCTTTCCTAACGAAAGTACCTTTTCTCCAATTCTGTAAAGCCAAAGGTTTTTCTTTCCTAGGAGTTGGTACAGGCAGCCCTGACAAGGGCATTTTCTAACGTATTTTATTAAAGGGCATGAATTAAATTTAAAATGCAGTAAAAAAGCTCAGGCTTTTCAATAAAATGTTAACTGAAAAAGACTACCAGAAATTCTGAATGTTTTCTACAGAAATATAGGGAATGCCTTCAGAAGAAAGCTGTCTTCCCCTTTTCTTGGCAACAGCCTGCAACTTATCTTGTTCCAAATGTAGTCCTTGCTCCATCAGGCTGCTTTCCTTCCCTCCTGAACATCGATTCCTGACTATTAGAATCTCTCTTTTCTCCTCACTCTTTTCTATTCACCATGCTCGTCTATGCAAACCACTCCCGGTGTTTGTTTTTTTCCCAATTTCCACATTTTTCTTTTATGTACATAGATTTATGCTCTTCTCTTCAAATCATGACCAGGATGGCTTAAATAAGAATAACTGAAATATTAGAGACCACAAAATCATTCATGCAGTAAATTTCATTTCATATACTAAAACCACAATGATATAAAAAGACATCAAAATAAAACAGGCAAATGGGGTTATGCACAGGTTCTAAATTCCAAATGGCTGTTTTCCAAGCTCTAAACCACCATTCTGCTTTCGGCAGTTTTCAGGTATGTCCCCAGAGGCCAATCATGGGATGTTTCTGAAAGCTGCCTTTGTTGTCAGTAGATTAATGGTGGGATAGACAGGTGCTTTGGAATGACTTGTTACGAGCTTTATTCTGCAGGCATTTACAAAAGATAAAAGTCAGCTAAGCTGCCTGTGCCCGAGTACAGGAAAGGGGCTAAAATGGATGCGGTTTGGGATGTTTTCTTAGGCTCTTGCAACTTATTTTACCTGAGGAATCCAAGAATCCCCAGCCGGTACTGAAGCACGACTACCACCACATTTCCATAAGCAGACAAGGCCGATCCGTCATAAAGTGAAGCCCCGCCATTGACCAGGCCACCTCCATGAAGCCAAACCATCACCTAGAAAATAGATCAAAAAAATGACCATCGCTGAAACTATTGATTTGGCAAAAAAATTTAATTGTTTCCTCTCTGTGCCCACATTCAATTGATGAATGGGTTAGTTATTTAATTAGAAAACCTATGTTTAATGGGAATAAGAGAATAAGAGAGTTGGAAGGGAGGCAGACACGGCCTGTGAAATGTAAGCGCTCTAATCAATCCCACCTTGGTTTTCCTGGCCAGCAGAGCAAGATGGGGAGGAAATTTGGAAGTCGTGGGAGCTGCATCACTGGAGGCTTTCAAGAAGAGGTTGAAGTGTGATATGATGTATGTCTAAAAAGGACTTGATATAGCCAGTACACTGATGCTGCAAAACTGGAAATGTGATGTATAATAAAAGGAAAATACACAATGTTTTTTTAAAAGAAGAGATTGGACTGCCATTTGTCAGAAATGGTGTAGGCTCTCCTTCTTGGGCAGGGGAGGGTTGGACTAGATGACCTACACGGTCCCTTCCAACTCTGTTAATCTATCTCTTTTCTCCTTTTCTTCTCTTTTCTTCCTTTCCCTAAGAAACAGGAAAAGAATTCTGCTTTGAAAAAATGAAAAATATGAGCTCTCCTCTGATAAATCTTGCATATGTATATAACACAAAAGGGGGAATTTTGGAAAAATTGTAACAAATCAGATTCTTCCCCTTAATTTTATTCTTCATACTGCTCCTTTTAAATAGGAACAACCCAGAGTTTTCCAACTCAGCATCCCTCTGCTTCACTGAAATGTGACTGAACAATTCAATTAATGAGAGTCACTTGTGAATCGCACGTTTTCAGATTCAAAGAGCAGATAGAATTGCAGAAATGTCCAGTAAAAAGAAAGGAGGATATATCTGCTTTTATATTAACAACCAGTGGCATAAAAATGTCACTAGACTAAAGAAATTTTGTGACGTGGACTTAGAAATACTATTAATTGCATATCCTACTACACACACACACACACACACACACACACACACACACACACACACACA